TCCTGAGAATATTCACATAAAAATATGTAAAGAATTTCATTATATGCTTCCTTTAATAAATGATTACTATGTAATAAACAATCCAATTAATTAATTAATTAAACTATTGTTTAATAAATTTCAACATAACTAAACTAATTTTTTATAGAAAAAATATAAAATTAACACTATGTAGTTAACTAAAAGTTTATTGTATAAATTTTGAAATTGCCTAATATTTAAGAATATTTTATATAAATTTTAATGATTGAGATCATGAATCAGTTGAAGTTAGACCACTGGACTTATGATCTCAACTATTAAAGTAATTATAATATCCATAAAATCTCTTCTAATATTTTATATCTCAAATTTTAATTCATTAAGTCGTGTACAAAGTACAAGAAAAGTTCATTATATACTAAAAATATTATGTAAGATTAGGTTAGTTCATCTAAAATGTTTTAAGGAATAAAGTTGATCTGAATAAACATAATTGTAAACTAATTCATTCATCAATTTCTTGATTTATTTGAACATATAAATATTAGTACAAGGGGGCACCAAATATATATGCGCCATATTAATTCAGCCAGTTAATGGTATGGTAAATTTTGTCTAAACTATGTATGTTTTGGTGTTGTGTTTACTTTTCGTATCCATGGTGGTCTGGCTTCAATTGACTCAACGGTTGAAATTACTACAATCTCCACGAAACCCCTTCTGATATATATATATATATATATATATATATATATATATATATATATATATATATATATATATAAATCCCTTCAATTTACTTTCATTATAAGTTATTCCTTTAACCGTTTATGTATAAAAGTAATAGTCAGTAAGCGAATGAAGTTGACAATTCCAGTATAACAACAATTATAATTTACTGATGGAAAATTCTCTTTTTCTTTCTTCTTACAAACAAAGTAAATAATCTATCTTTTATATGGCTAGCGTTGACTGCTTGAACATGTTAGTCAAACGTATATTTTGTAAGTAGGTATTATATACTTCATTTTAGTAAATATTCGAGTCATTTATTGAATCTTTTAAGTTGGTTTATTTAATTTATTAGTATTTTAGTGATTAAACAAAAATAAAACACTTTTATGCATAACCTACATTTAGTAAGTTAAAACATGTTAGCGACTATTTGAATCTAATGTATAACTCATAAGCTTATGAATTGCAAGGTATTGGATTCAAATCTCTCTATGAATCTTATCATTATACTTCAAATATATTCATGTGACCAATCCTAAGTAGATGAAATTTTGTTGTTTATGCAACGTTTCAGTGTGATTTGCTTAGTTTGGTTGTTTAAAATATTCATAACAAGGAAAAAGTTAAAATAGTTCTTCGAATAAATTCTTTTTGGTTTTACCGGTATTTTAAGAAATTAAGTAGTTAAGATAGAGTAAATGATCTCTCAATGACTTATTTTTTAGACCGAAAAATCTACATTTACATAAAAGGATAATTCTAACAGTTAAATTTTACGTAATAGAGAAGGTTGAATTGACTTAGCACTGAGTGTATAACTTTAAAATAGTCAATTAAATTTGCAGTTGTCTGTGATATAGTCGTCCAGAACGACAATCAAGGATTCATAGCTAAATCATAAGTCGTAATGAGTTCAGCATCAGTTGAAGCTACCCAAGTTAACATATATGTGTGACAAATATCCACTCATAGATTTTTTTACAAGATCAACTTCTAGCATCAAAAAAATTATTAAACAAAGTGAGAATCACAATTTCACATTATATAAATCATTTATTAATTAATACTCATTTAAGTGTACATTATTCAATTCTCTATTAACCTTAGCAACACATACATAGTAAAAAATGTTATTTTATCAAGACTTTGGTATATTCTTCCAGGCTTTGTATTTAAAACAAAAGTTGATTAATAATATAATGTACATAATTTAATGTGATAATTTATTTTATTTAAACAAAAGGAACCTTAACATAAATAAAATTACCAACAAAAAAGTTGCCAGTTTGTAAACAACTCCATAACAATTCAAGGTAGAAAGTAACCAAGATAATAATAAGCTATATTTAATTTATAATGGAATTTATATTCATTATCATTTGACTTGTCTTCTATATTAATATTAGATCAAATAAAATATAACCGCAAGTTATTTTTAATCTCTATGAAAATTAACTGTTTATTAACAAATACATAATTAATTCATTTCTATCATTTTCTTTATTTCCAAAAGGTATAACTAACTATAACCATACATTACAATATATAAGAAATTTTGCCTAGATTTGATCAAATAGTATCACAGTCTTTAGGTATCAAGTTGATATGTGACATTATTGAGGAAGAATGTATTTGTGCAATCTCAGGGAATGAATTTGAAGTAAATCCAACGATTCACCTTGTAAAACGTCTTCAGACAAAACGTTGAATTTACTTTAAATTCATTTGCTAAACCTTTTACAAATACATTCTTCATCATTAATGTCATATATTATAATGTTCTAGATTATACAATATACATGCTTTAAGACAAAAAAGCTAATGGTTAATTAAGAAAATAAATTAAGTTTTTGAAATGTAGAAGGTTTCATACACTTTCTCAAAACTTTTCTTCGATTTGAATTTTTCCAATATTATAAGTGAAAGTATGTGTACTGTTTTGTTTTTTTCTCGTAAATGTTAAGCAAATGAAAGGAATGTACAGATTTGATGGATTCATATCAAACTGTTACGATCGTTATTCTTCTTTTATTTCCAACGACTGAAATGTATTCACCCTGATAATATTAATTATTAAAGAATGACAAAAATATAAATTATTATATTAGTTCTTTCTCTTTATATAAAACAATATCTTTTTTATTTCGTGAACTTAACCTAAGTATCATTAAAAAATTAGAGGAAGTAGATAGTGGTTTCATTCTACTTTGTAGATAGTCAGTAGTATACAACTATCTGGTATTACTCCTGAACTTACAATTTGATATTTTAATAAAGTTTGAAAAAAAATTCATATGTTTACAAGTAAACATATTTACATTTTACTTAAATTTTGACGAGATTATAATTTATAGATGAACCAATCAAGTATAAGATAACAGATCTTGGATTTTTATGCGAAATTCACCCATCCATTTAGTTAAATAAAGTTTTGGCATTATAGCTGATGTCAATTTGTGATGAAAACCCTTATATCGAATTCCTAACCATAACTATCAACTGTAAATCATAATTCTAATTCCTCGCATTGATTTATAACCCTCATTTGGTCCTAGTTATTTGGTGAACACTCTCAAGGTCACTTTAGCGTCCCTCAAAGGTCGTCCATAAATTATAGTTTCACCTAAATCTCTATTCAATATTCTGATAACTACAAAATAATAAATGAAGAAGAACGACAACAACAACGTAAATTCATCGTTTATATACAATGTGTATCATATCAATTCAGATATATACATCAATATCATTATTAACATGTAATTTATAGAATATAAATTTCTAAACAGTAATTTCATCGAAATTATACATGTTGTTTTATAAGTTGTCATGAAAGAGAAATATTATTATCAGCTTTATTCAATATTATATTTTTGGTGCAATATAGAATTCTCCGAGTAATTACATATTTATATAAATGACTAAATTAAAAAAAGTTGGGAAAATCTATTTTATAAATTACAATAATAAGTAATACTTATGATGTTTAAATAAAATATTAGAGAAATATAATTTTTAAATGATGAATATCTATTATTATAGATGATTGATATACTTATTATTCATTACATATTGACTGATTTGTATAGTAACTAATTGTTTAATATTGTTTATAAGTCTTATTAGATAAATCAGTTATATAACATTCATTATACATTACAAATCATACAGTCAATAAGCTCAATAAAGCAATTCAGATTATTTTAACCAGTTTAGTGTTATATTTTTTATACATGAACAGTTTATATCTCATCAACTTATTACACGATATGTGTGAAAAACTTAGATGAAATCTTAGATGTTAAATGATTAAAGTGTTAATTTTTAATACTTGTCTGAAAGTTTAAATTCACTAATGTAATACGAAATGAACTGGTTCACATTTAGACAAATGTCAAATAAAAGAAATTCCAATTGAATTTATATGACGTAAATTTGGTATTAGTTAATAACCTAAGATCATCCCACAATTTTGACTAACTTTGTCATGAATTTAAAGCAATTAGTCCCTTTAATAAATTTCGATAGAACAATGAGAAGACGGAGTTTATCTGAAAAATGTGATGTATTTGCTCCATACATTTCGAACAATCTGGTCACACATATACTTGTCAAGGCATTTTTATATGAGAATTAATAAAGGTCAATTAAATAAACGTTCAAGTAAAATAACAAAGGGGGGAGAAAGAATAAGAAATTATCGCGTTATCCTAGGCCATCGAATCACTTAAGGATTACCAAGGTAAATTCAAGGTTACGACAAATTTTTTTTGTACACATAAGGAGGGTTTAAATTTACGAATAGCCAAGGCTTCAATAAACTTACGAATTCGTCCTTGAAAATTTCTATACAACATTCTAAAAGCTGTATTAATGTCAATTTTGTGCCCCGTTTCATATAAAAAAATGCCTCGACAAGTGTATGTGTGACCAGATTGTTCGAAATGTATAGCAAAAATACATTACATTTTTCAGATAAACTCCGTCTTCTGATTGTTCTATCGTAACTTTGTCATATTTTACAAAGTATTTCGAAAGTATAAATACAATAAAATAAGAGAATAGTGCTGTCATTTATAATCTATCCTATGCACATAAATAGTGCGCTACTTCCTAACAGTTTGTTAATAGAAATAAACAAAAATTAAATAGTTATAAACGAACTTATAAGTTTATACTTGTATTTTAATCACTTTGATAGGAAATATATAAAAATATGATTCAAGTTTATTATCGTTTTATCAATTAATGTAATCATTATTGATAACCGGCATATTACTTACATATTGGAGTACTTTCAATATATAATCCTTCTGAATGTTGTAATCCTCTTCTTTCTATTGTTCTTTCAAAAAATTGACTTTCTAATCTATGAATTGGATAAATGACATCTGAAGTACTAATTGGAACAGTCATAGGAACTAATGGAAAATGTACAGATGAAACATCGGTTGTACCACTAACATGATCTATGTCAGTAGTAGCAGTAGTAGTTATTGTTAATGTATCACTTGTTGTAGTACTAATAGTATTAGTAACAGTAGTGGTGTAAGGTAAACAATGTTCCTCTTCAAATGACCAGTAAGATTTATTTGAATCACTCATATTTTATAATCAAGTGTATTTTTACACTTATTTCTACTGTGTAAATTTTATCACGTTTAAATAAAATTATAATATTCATTTAAAACATGGATAAATAAATTGTCCAATTGAATTATACGTTCATTATTAATTACACAATTCTATAAAAACTATAGGAAAATTAACTCATTAATTATAACCTTGACTTAACCAATGAAATAATCATGCGTAGGATGTTTAGTGTACTAAAATACACTTTTTTTTTCTTGTCTATTAATATTCTTATCTTTCTATTCATGTCTCATTTTAGGCAATGATAATAAACTAACAATATGACCACCTACGCTTTATTAACTGTTGATGAGTAAAAATTAAAAAAATATGTATAGTCTAATAAATTCTATTTCAAATAACCTTATAAACAAACCACAATGAATATTATATATAATCAAATCAGATGATTTCATATACAAATTGGTGGATAAACTTAACATTCCTCATGGATTCTAAATTTTATAAACACGATACGTTATATTAATTAACAGATTTGTTATAAACAAATTGACTTCATTAAAAAAAGAAAAAAGAAGAAAAGAAAAGAACTACTTATCCATTTTATATAAAATAATCAGTATATACAAATCAACACAAAATGAATGGGAAATATACTCAATCTTTAATTTTAAATTGGATATAATTATTCATTTATACATGTAAGACATTGTTTTATTAAAATAAGAATTTTCGTCTAAATTTTGAACGAATAGTTTCACAATATTTGGGTGCCAAATTAATGTGAGTCATTAAAGAGGAAGAATGTATTTGTAAAATCTCAGCGAAAGAATTTGAAGTAAATCCAATGTTTCGCCTGGTAAACGATAATTTTGTTGTGTGATTATATTTTCCTTGAAAAAGCTTGGATCAGATTACCAGGCGAAACGTTGAATTTACTTCATATTATTTTATTAGTTTATAGATTATATTTTTTCATTATATTTTATTAGTATTAATAATGAATTTTACTTGAAATATTTGAGTATTATTATTATTATTATTATCTATTTAATGAATTGATTAAAACAAAATATTGACAGATCATTCCCATTTAAACATTAAAATTAAAATTAAAAACACAAAGTTCACCGAAGGGATCTCTTTTCAACTAACTTATTATCAAGCTGTACAATCGTATATATATGAGAATAAATAAACAAAAATATCAATCAATTAAATCATTTTTAACCTTTGATTAATGAATGTTTAATTGTAGAGCATTTTTTTACAAAAAACAAATAAAAAAAACATATAAATGTTTGAAGACAAAAATATGTTTACCTGAATAGTTAGATTTTATTTTTTTTTCTTTAAAAAATAGTTGATATTTTAAACAATTTATAGGTACGTTATTTCAGTTGTCAATTTAATAATATCAGAAATTGGGCTTTTTATTATGGAGATTTTAGATATTTAAATAGTTGAAATCATGAGTTCATTAAACCTAGACGTCTATGATTTTCCATGGTAACAATTAATTCTTAATCTTAATTAATTGATTTAAAATCTATCTAATTAATTTACTAATTTATTGAATAAGAAAAAAAAAGGGAATTCAGTGAGGAAAATTTTCTTTTCGATCAAATCATTTACTTAAGCTATACATTCGTATATATATATATATATACAGTTATATGTGGAAAATATATGTCTATAGGAGGATAAAAAACATTTTGTATCACCAAAATGGATTCGATGATAAATAACTAATTTATTATCTTATATTCAATAAATGATATGTAAAAGAAAATTATAGTATCATTCACTTACTATTATATTTTAATTGTTCACTCACACTTGAAAGATTATGTTTGTTTGTTTTTTCTAATATAATAAATATGATGAACTTGAAGTTATATACAAAGTTTCAAATCATTAATACTAATAAACATAATAAACTGAATTCTTGAAACTGTCTTAACTAATTATGATTACTGTTGTTTGTTTTTTTTTTTAGATTTTACTTTGACCTTGACTAAATTGATATTTTATAAAGGTCAATTGTAAATAATGATATTATTATTTACGATTGAACTATTGAAATTCTGATTGATTTTTTTCTTTCAAATAGAAATAAATAAATAATAATAATAATCGATAAATGAAACACAATCTTATAAGTTGTTTTTTTTTAAATTTAAAAATAAAAATATATATCACTCAATTATTAAGTAGATTTCACAAGGAAAACCTGGAACCACTGGACGGCCATTTCGTCCTAGTATGGGACTCCTCAGCAGTGCGCATCCATGGTGGTCTAGCTTCAATCGACTCATGATTTCAACCTGTGAAATTTCTAAAACTCTCCACAAAACCCATTCTGATATTAAGTAGATTAATGAAAATTTATGATAGTGTAGTAAGCCCGTTCAACTATTGTATTATATATCTGCTCACTTTGATTTACACACTTAATCCACTATGTAAATTTCTGTGTGAATATGATTGAGCACATGTCTGCATATCAATTTTTTAATCTATTCTCTCATTGGTTGTAATATACAGACAATCAATAATTTATCCACACTTGATTATGACTCATAAATATATGTGGATTTTTAACACTCACATACACACTCTTGTTTTCCCTGTGTGTTTGCTTATTGTACACTTGCAGATTTCACCAATCTTTAACAATAAACTATCTCTATAACTAGTGTTCAGGCTTTTGAATAATCTCGAATAAATCCATAATTCTACAAAGAGATTAAGCCTGTATTAAATACTCAGTTAACGGGTTACTATTTATTGGAGTCAGATATAGAGGAAATTAGCCTTTACAATAGTACTTATTTAAATTTTATAAACATACAAAAGAAAAATCAATTTAACATATGTAAACATGGCAAGATTTACATCGAGTATAATTGAACACCTAAATATAATTATAAATAAATGATATTCTAATAAATAAATGTATTCGGTATTATTATTATTATCAGGAAATTATCATATATAAAGTTTAGTTTTTTATATTACTTACATTATCTGTAGGAATATAGGATTATTTATGTTGATTAGTATAGAAGATCCATTATCTTAGTTATTCAGCAATATAATCTGTTATTTATGTTTAATATTTATCTAGTCTTAAATGGTTGTCAATACATTAATAAGTAGCCTTAAGATTTGGACACTAATATTGTTGATATGTAGTTTTGATTTAATAGAAATTTAGTTTATTTACATGTTGTTCATATCATCGTATTTTTTTTCAAAAGAAAGATCGAAATCATAAAACAGTGTTTGACATGACGTCATATAACTGATAATAATATCTAATAATTGAATTAATGAGTCAATTAAAGCTAGATTACTATGAAAAAACTGGACGTACTGAACGGTCGTTTTCAGGTTTTTCTACGGTGGTCTAGCTTTAATTGATTCATGAATTTAACTATTAAATTACTGAAATCTCCATAAAATCCCTCTCTGGTATCATTATATTTTCTCAACTAAATCTATACTGTTTTCGAAGAAAAAAAGACGATATCTGAATTTTGTTAATATGAATTAAAAACAAACTTGTAAAAGAGTTTTATATAATTGAATGGTTGTATACATGAGATCAGAGAATTTACTTTCAGATTTCTCACTTCAATAATAATTCTTCATTAATTTATATTTAATATTAAAGTAATGCAATAAAATGTAATGCCTTTTAGACAATTATCAATGCTAAGCGATAAACAATGAAACCTGAAACAACAACTAGTTACAAACAGGACCATCATAACAAATTGACTTACAACTTACGAATTGAGTAAAAAACTTAGTTCTGTATAACGTAATCTCCGGTAATATTGACCAGAATGACAATGAAAGCTTCGCATACAGACTGGTCAGTTTAGAGAACCCATTAGCACCAAAATAAATGTCTTATATTGTTGAACCATAAGTTGTTAAGATTCAGTAAGATTATCAATTTAATATTTGAAATTTATAGTGTAGAGACCCTTAAAATTATAATTTTATAGCTCAGCGGTAACGTCGCTGACTGTGAAGCTGGGTGGCACGGGATTGAATCCGTCGAGGAGCACCAGTTCCCTCAAGATTACAGGTACACTTTGCTGACGAGTGCCAAGTAGCACGAAACCTGGTTCCAGGGTTTCCTGTCGACTACCTCCAACCACCATCTAATCTCACAATAGTGAACACAATGCCGAGTCACCTAGACCGGTGATCATATTGCATCATGGTCGATAGCATTCGATTTGCACTAATAAGGACTTGACACACATGACATTGATCACCACACAGTGATCAATCAATTGTGACTATAAACTATGATTCCATGCTTTTAGTAATCTTACAAACAAAATTACATTTTCCACTTCATAATCAATGCAAGAGTAACAAATGCCTCGTTTGACCAGTAAGTGTATGTTATTCAGAAAAGAAACATTTTTAAAATACATAAATACATAATGTCTAGCTTGATGTTTTATTTAATAGAATCTCTTTTGTCTACAAGTGTATAGTTAGGTTCATAGGATTTCGCTGTGATATTTCTTTGAAAGTGTTCTCCATAAGCATGAAGTTTTCAAGACTTTCTATCATCCATTAGAACACGACATACATATTTAACAATGTCTGAAAAGAATGAAAACTCATATTATCATCACGAACTCATCCGAACTGAAGAACCACTAAAACCTCAAGGAGTAGTAATCAGTAGGTTATACTATGACTTGAAAATTTTGAAGAGTTTTCAACCACGACTTACTGTACGTTTATAAATGTGACATACATTTTCATTTCATGGTAGCTTTTCAATAGCAACTCGATTACCACAGTACATAAAGGTATTACCCTTAGTTCTATGTGTGGGATTTATTGCAAAAACCATTTTTAAATCAGCACAAGTCTCTTACACGTGTTATCTAAGGAAAATACACGACTGTTGCTTTATTTTATGCATATATATATTTATATACACGATTAGCTCATGCTACGACACTTACTACCTTAGCTGGAGTTTTGTTTTCTGAGCTGGATGGTTTCCACGCTGAGCTTTCACTATTCTCCTAAACTTACCAACTTTCAAATTTC